GCCCGGCTATTTTTTGGTTGCAGCCATTATTGTTGTTTGGCGGGCCCGGGCTGGGGATTCGAACCTGCCACCTTAGGTATATGTGGCTGGCGCCTTAGCCACTTGAGCCACAGGCGCCGAGCCATATCCTGTCACTTTTGAGGACAACTTTCTCCCTAGAACAAAGAGAGAAAGCTGTGGGTATGTGCGGCAGGCCCCTCACCTACAGCTCTGTTCCGAGGACTCCATGTCCCAGGAATAAACCATCCAGACAGATGCTACCTCTTCACAGAATCCAAAATTTGTTACTCAAAAAAGGGACATTGTCAATGACATGCTGAACTCCTAAAGGCTATATCACACTGACCAACAATGACAAAACCCAGAGATCAGGTCTGAGTCACCTAAACTGAAGAGCCGTGAAAGCACAGAAAACAGACCATGGAGTGAACTCGGATCCTTTCTGGGCAGTGTTGGCAGTAATCTGTGAGCCTCAGGCTGGGTCATGGCTGGGTGCTCACTGCCCTGGGACCAACACACAGCACACACATGCTCCTCTGCTCTACACCTGGGCTGATATGCACCATGAAGCAACAGTCCTGATGCCATCAGCCCCTCTGCAGTGGGCCTGCCTCTCTGCCGGTCCTGTGGGTGCCGCACCCCTACTGTGCCAAGTGAACAAATGCACAAGCATGGTGCCAGCCTGCCAACAGCACCAGCTGGGTTTCAGAGATAAGACTGTAAACATCTTTCTTTCAGAACTGATGGAAAGGTAAAATTATAAAAATGATAAATACTAACACCTAACGACTCTGTTTTGTTATCATTTAAACATCAAACAGTGTATTCTCCCTTTTTTAGGATTCAGAAATCAAAGCACCTTCTGAAAGCGTCATCTGGCCAGGTGCAGCAGCTCCCACCTGTAATCCCAGCACTCTGGGAGGCCGAGGGAAGAGGGTGGCTCCAGGGTTAGGAGTTAGAGACCAGCCTGAGGAAGGACGAGAACCTGTCTCTGCTAAAAACAGAAAAACTAGCTGAGCAATGGGCACCTGTAGTCCCAGCTATTTGGGAGCCCAAGGCAGGAGGATTGCTTGAGCCCAGGAGTTTGAGGTTGCAGTGAGCTATGATGATGCCGTGGGTGTGAGAGTGAGACTGTCTCAAAAAAAAAAAAGAAGTTTCATCTTCAAAGATAAAGCAGTCTTCCAAAAATGGAGTGCTCTTTGGGGTATTATTTTACCAATCTGATATCTTGCCAAAAATGTCATTAATGGAACTTAATGCCAGTAAATTAGGTAGCACAACTATGCAGTGAACATGAAGATGAGAAATCAGTTTTTATGCTCTGGGGACTGGTCCCATTTCTTTAACATTAATAAGAGAGTAAAGAAAAAAACCCGGTATTTGCTAAAAACCCCATTCAGAAGCACAAAAGCCACTTCCAGCTCTTTTGTATTTTCAAACTTACAACTTCAGATTTTCTTGAGTGTCTCCTCCCAAAACTTGGGTTTCCCTCCACATGTGTGTACCCTCTGGGATCCGAGGAGGGACAGGGCTCGTCTAGGAGAAGGTGCTCGACCTAAAAAGCATCGTGAAGAGCAGTCTCCACAGCAGCAGGCTCGGGCTGTCCTGCCCTGGGTCCATCTGACACTGCCCCTTCTCTGGGCCATGCACTCAAGAGTCTCCTCCTTCCCAGTTGCCTGGAAAATCCCCCGGTGTCCCCACCAGGACTGCCGCATAACAACAGCAGGTGTTGACAGTAATGCTTCTGATAGATGCTGAGCTTAGACTCACCACAGGCTCACAACTGGCACCTGCCTGTGCCTGGGCAATGCCAGAGGCAGCATTTCCGAGAGTTTTGTACCTGCTGTCTCAGTCAGTGCTTTTTAAATAAATTTAACTCATTTACCTCCACATCAGTCCTAGCAGAGAGGTTCTCTCATGAGTACATTGTACAGACGTAAACCAGAACCAGTGATTTCACTTCCTAGTAGCAAACCAGCCCTGTGCAGTGACTGTTGTCTTACGGTGGATACCTGCACCCCATACCTTATCTGAATTTTGCTGCAAGAACGTTAATAAATTTTAATTTTAGTCCTTCAATAGAATTCTGTTTTGAGTAACTAGATTTTTTTTTCTTGAGGCAAAGCCTCACTCTATTGCCCAGGCTAGAGTGCCATGGTGTCACAGAGCACAGCAATTTCAAACTCCTGGGTCAGGCGATTCTTCTGCCTCAGTCTCCCAAGTAGCTGGGACTACAGGCACCTGCTGTGATGCCCAGATAATTTTTCTATTTTTAGTAGAGACAGGGTCTCACCCTTGCTCAGTCTGGTCTCAAACTCCTGAAGAGAAGCAATCCACCCACCTCGGCCTCTCGGACTGCTAGGATTATAGGCATGAGCCACTTCGCCCAGCCTAGATTTTTCTATTTATTTGTATCAGACAATGGTAGTTACTTGTAAACATTTTGAAAGATAATAATGAATATTTCTTTCTCTAAAACCAGAGTTATAAAAGGATGTGAGCAGATAAATTCTTAATCATTAAGTGAAGCACGAAAGCGTGACCCACAACAGTGTACATCAGACACTTCAACCAACACTACGCTCGCCCAGGGGGAGCGTCCTGCTGGCACTGTGGCCCAGGGATGGAGCCTTTAGCAGCAAAGATTGCACAGAGCAGCAGGAAGGCAGGAGGTGGCACCTTATGCTCTGCATCTCAGCCACAGGGGACTGTGTTGGGTGGAATCGTGACTGACAGACCCTAAAGGACTGCAAATTATTCTCTGCTTTCTGGATAAAGCATCCACTTCACGACCCGGGAAAACTTTACTTGAAGTTTATCGCCAGAACAGATCCCTCAAGTCATATTCCCTCTATATCTGCTAGTCCCTAAAGTCTGATGCTACGGTGACTTCTCTGTTGCTCCGCCGGCACTGACGGCAACAACAAAGGTCCTCTCCCCGGACAGCATCTGGTCCTGGAAGAGCCAGAGCCTTTCTTTCTTTCCCAGCAGCCAGGCTTGTCTGAGCAGCGGCAGGACAGTGAAGCTTCCCAGCCCCGCTGCTGAGCGGCACTTCTGAGCAGGGTTCACAAGGGTGCAGGATAGGCCTAATTCTTAGGGAGCTCCACTTAAAGCTGGAAGGAGAGGGCAATCCCCAATGCCGTCAGCAAACAACACAGAACAGCACAGGGTGAAAGGCCAGAGTGGGACCCGCGGGAAGGGAGCAGGAAGAGAACTGAAGGAGAGGGAGACTGACCTGGACAAAGAGGCAAGAGGACCCTAGAAAGGTGGCCAGTGACCACTGGACATGACCACAGGCTGTGGTCCAGCAAACTCAGACTCATTGAGTCACACAAGCTTTATATTTGTTGTTTGCTTTGCTTAAACAAAGGGGTAATCAGCATGGAAACGGAGGAATGAATGGAGTTGATTCCTACAGATCCAAACTAAGACTGTTCCTCTTCACGATGTCTAGAGCATTCTTTGAAGTCAGTTATACTGTAAGATACAGTCACACCTCCACAGCTGACCACCTCCCTACACTGACCACCCCCTTAAGTTGATGTCACGTTCACAGACTGGACAAGCACCACACGTTTGTGTCAGGACAGGAGGCCTAGTTCCTATGTGACCACCTCCGTGTGTTGACCAGTTACGGTCCCTTGCGTGGATGACTCCAAGAGGGTCCACTGTACATTTAGGGTCTTTTAAGTATTTCTTCTCAACCACCAAGAACATTTTTTCA